TATTCCTACATTTTGTCTTTCTCAGATCCAAGTCTTAACGTCTTTTGGGTTGTATTATTCATAAGCTACATAACTACGAGTCTCAAACTATGTGTTTGACCACTCAAAAAATACTGCATATTTATTTAAAGTAGTGTCCACGTAAAGGATAAATTAAGGCTGGTATCCATTCAGAGGGGATTTACACCTCTCATTTTTGGAACTGGTCGTGCCTTAAATTGTAAGCCCAAATGCAATAAACTTAGACTCGTCCCTTCATGAAAGCGCAGAATCAAACCAAATATAATATTTTTCTTCAAAATGCTTAATAAACTATCTTATACATTCTGTGAAGCAATTAAATATTCAGAAACCCCTAGTTACTGCATCCGTAACTCTTTTTCATTACTGAAAATATCTCATTCTCTCCATTTAAATTACTTCAAAGGTAAATTTTCCAGACTCAGGAATAATTTACCACAATCTGTCCGTAAAATAAAATCACTTCCATCCTTTGTTCGCTGAATCGATGCTTACAACTCTGAAAATGCCTTAAATGTGCCTGTAAGTATATCCCATTGCACAAATGAGAGTACGGGAACTTTAACTGTTTAATCGTTTTTATTACTGAGTTTATTAAGTAAACCTCCCTCCCTGCCGTTACTTTACACTAGCACCAACCCCGATAACCCTAAATAATTTGAATATTATCTGACACGAATAGTATTTCATGAAATAACCTGGCACATATATTATGGTGGACCTGGCTGGTTCATGGCTGTAATTATTGCTTTTATCGTTCCGTGTGTTCTGCTTCTGTTTTATTTTCTCTAGTTGTAAATGATTATAATTAATTTGTTATGGTGCTAGAAATGACTCTGAATACACTGTTCATACATCAACAGGATGTGCACTTAGAAGGAATCGAAAGCGCCCGGCTGATGTCTTTCATAGCTAAAATATGTGTTAAAAATGTACTACTCAAACGATTTTTGAACTAGAACAATTTAAACAATCTAACATCATATATCTGTCTTCCAGATTTAATATTCGCGTCTATATCAAGATCATCACTCCTGTAAACTGGTATGAGTTCTGTAATTATTATTTTCAGAATATATATATATATATATATATATATATATATATATATATATATATATATATATATATATATATATATATATATATATATATATATATATAGTTACTATATTATATAATTTTGGGGATGGTTTACATATCGTTTGCGTTTACAGACAAAATCAAAAGAACTATAGAAGGCTTTAATCCTGATAACTTTCTAGAAATAAATTATTATGTAACTTTTTTTGTTTTTACTTTTGTGTAACGTATTACAGTCACTTAATTGTATTCACTAACTACTGAATACCGACTTAGTGGTCTTCGAATATTATGTTTACTGCAAGGCCTGCAGGCCCTGCAAGCGTCCTTTGAAGTAATTCGGCGTTCGCACTTCCGAAAAAAAACTCAAACTAAATCAAAGCAATTGTTTATTTCTTTTTGTTTATCAGTGGTTTTACAAATTTTGTCAATCGACAATGAAAACTACTTTTAATGTAATACAACCTTTACAGACATCTTATCTCACATTTGATTCCCTTGATAAACTGTTTTGGCGGTGGAACAACAACGCATGTAAACCAAATTAACTTTATTGTATTATTTTGTAAGCTGTAAATCTACATGTTCATTATAGTTTATAAATAAAAACTTATTTCTAAAAGTTTAGGAAATTTAATTGATCTCCGGTGAATTATCAATGAAAAATTCTGCCATCGTAATTTGAGTCATGATTCCATCTGAGATCAGAGTTTAATAAAACAAAATTTAGATATCCTACTGTATATAATATTGTTACTGATCACTATGATCTTATTTATAGTTAGAGTAACATGAAATACCCATACAGTTGGAAGCACCTTAAAAAATTTGGCTTCTTATACCACATAAGTGTATTTTATTTGCATACAATTCAACAACGACCAGTCTAATGAACATTGAATATAGAACTCTCAGGTTGAGCATTTAAACCGGTGTTTATAATATAACACAGAAGACTTTAGTGGGTGGAATATAGGTATCGAGGTATGAATAGCATTCACATAGAGAGTGACTAATTAGCTAGGTCAGCTCACTAAATCAAAACACTAGAAGACGGCTGTTAATTATCTTATATCATCATCTGAGAAGAAATAGCTCATAAGTTATGCTCAAGGTCGTATGAACTAAGTTTTGTAAAATGTGAGAAATATGTGTTATAACTTAGTCTTGACAGTGCTAAGATTTTACTAAGTGAATAGAAAATGACATCAGTCATTACAATAGTCAGTTATGTTTTAAAGTCTTTGTTAATCATCACTAGACAAAAACTTTATTTCCCACAAAGTAACACGTACGTACATCAAGTTTTCGTCAGATATATACACATACATCATAACAATATCATACAAATGAAAAGATTACTTTACGAGATAGTTAGGATTGTCGAATGTTAATGTGTTATAATGTAACTAGAAACTCCTGATAATTTTGAAAGATGACACTAGTAAATGTTCACTTAAGCTCTTCAAGCTTTCATATTAAGTATGGAATAACTGAAAGATCGCCAAAATAATTACATACGTAATATTCATCAACAAAATGACTTTAATCGAAGTACTATCGAGAACTAAGGCTGTGGGAGTCATGATTATGCAATTTTAGAAGTCATAAAATAAAATGAATTGACCATACAGAACTCCATGATCTTTATTGATTCTCTAACTAATGTCATTTCAAAATCTATGAAATGTGCCCCCCCCGCCATCAAAATCACTTCAGTTAATAAGTGTAAAATAGTTTGTTTACAGATGGTAGCATAACGATAACTAAATTGCTTTGTTTGACACAGTCGGGGCAAATATTACTGACTCTGATGTCGAATTTTTATAAAATGTAAATCTGTGAAAGTGATCTTTTTATCAGCAATTCTTCTAATAGACTGATTACTTATTTTCCATTAATACTAGGAAAACTTGTTGTTAATATAAGAAATGTGTTTGGCACCATCAGTCAATCAGTACAAATGATTCTATGAATGTTCCATCACTACGTACTGCCTAAAAGGTTATTAAACTAAAAAATTCATTGATCACGTTGTTTAAAGAGTTTTCATGTTCTATCACTTAGAATTTAGGGGGGGGGTAATTTCTTTATAGAGTATTGTTTATTGGAAGGAATTCGATAGCTTTCTATTCCTTAGTATTATTAAGAAACTCTAACAAAGCTAATTTGTGATAACGCTAACCGTACGTTTTTAAAAAACTTCATTAGAGTCTCATGAAAAGAGGATTCGTTACATGCAGTATATTTTCGAATGGTAATTAACTAGAAGATTGAACAAAGCTTCATCAGAATATTCCAAAATAGTGTTTCATTCAACTCGGTGATTTTCTTATTTAGAAAACCTAAAGTTGGTTTCATACTGTTATTGTATCATTTTGATTTCGATCTGGTGTTTCAGATCTATTTTTTTCAAATCGCGATTTCTTTAGTTTTGTGTGCTCAAAAATGTTAGAGGTTTCTAATAAATTAACGGAGCTTTTTTCCAACTACTTCATTTTTATGACGAGAAACGGAATATAATTTTGTCCATTGTGAGAATGAAGTACCAACCTATTCACTTAACTCAACTTCCTAGATTAAACAGCATTTCAACTAACGATTCATGCATATTATTATGAATGTAGAATGAGATTGTGATTGAAGCAGAGTCAAGAGTACCCAAACAACATCTGAGTATCATTCTCAGCATGAAATAATCAACCGAAATGACGATGACAAATTATAAACCTATTGAAGCTTTTTACTTGAGAATATGTCAGATAGATGGCATATTTTAAACGTTAAGTAACTGATGAGTAGTGAGCCAGATGATCATATTTTTCATAAAATTTTCATCACCGTTCCGTTAAGTAGATTTGGATGTACGTCGGTAGATTTACAAAAATGATATCTTTAGAAAAACACAAATCTCACACATGATGCGTGTACACCAAGTCAGTAGGTGATATCAGTTCTGTTGTCATATTAATACTATCTATAACTTCAGAGGTCTGCTCATACTCTATTCCGTTGATCTTCCAGTGGCCATAATTTTATGGTGATCGTCCGAGACTATTGTGTGACATAGTGGAGTGATACCGTCTAAATTATAAACGTTTGCTATTATACTTGTTCTTGTAAAACTTGAGGACGTGAAAAAAAAACATTCGTTGCTGTTCATCATTGTTGTGCCGTCGAATGCTGTAACGTTTTGATTTTGTATTCTTTTGTATAAGAGTGGCATTAATAGTCAAATTATTCATATTATAATTTTCCTTGATCGTGTATATTTGGTAAACGCTGATTACTTTCTAATATTCTAAGCTCCAGTATTCACTGTACTTGACTAGCTGATCTGATAGTTGAATGAAATAAATAATATGCATACAAGAACTTATAGTTTCGCAAAGATCACACAATAATTTTTTTTTCAAGGAAACTCGGTTTACCATTTAATAATAACAGAATATATTTCACTTCAGTTTTATTTAAGATTGTTCAACTACATACAATATAAGATTAATCTCTGACTTTTTATACATCTATTTATGAATGCAGCACCTGATTGGAAGAATATAAATCCACATTTTCAATTAACTAAATATTACATTTTCTGTATTCATTAAGTAATTGTTTACTGCTTCGATGAACAAATCGAATTAAGACAATTGATCATTACTATAAACATTCTATAACAGACCTTCTCATTAACATAGATGTACACCAATATATTAGATCATTTAAATATTTCATGGAGTTGATCACAGTCAGTCAGTATCAACTAAAGAATTTGTAATTTATTATGGACAATATTTTCCTTCTAGCTTTAATGTTATTGAATATTACTTGGTAGACACTTTGAACTTACTGTTCATTACTATATGAAAATATGAATCAAATTAAGTCTACAATGGTTGATCGGATTAAAAATTTGTATTTATATTTATCATACAAATGCATCATTGTAAGTATTTCATAATAAAACAAAAAAGCCAGTGCAATGAATGAAAATTATTTTAAACATAATGGAATGGTTCATAGAATTTGTAAACTATCCCTTTTACAACAAGAGGATAAGAATATCATGACTTTAAAATGATGAATAAATATTTATCAAAACATTAAAGAAGTAGAAGAAGAAAAAAACACAAAAAAACTGAACTATAAAACTTCTCTTCAAACATTTAATATCCCACTAGTCGCTTCCACATATTTCATATCACGATCTAACTGACAAGCTGCACACAATGGACAGAAGTATTCCTTCAGGAAATCTCTGCACAAAGTACCCTAATAATAGAAAAATAAAAGTGATTTTAAAAAATTTTTAATACCAGAAATCATTGTTCACAATTGATTGATCACTGGGTGGTGATCAATGTCATGCTTGTCTAGTCCTTATTAGTACAGATCGAATGCTATCGATCGTGTTGCAATGTGGTCACCAGTCTAGGTGACTCGACACTGCGGGCACTATGTATTGAGATTTAGATGGTGGTTGGAGGTAGTCAACAAGAAACCCTGGACCCGGGTTTCGTGCTACTTGGCACTCGTCAGCAAGGTGTACCTGTAATCTTGAGGGAACTGGTGCTCCCTGACCGATTCGATCTCGTGTCACCCAGCTTCACAGTCAGAGACGTTACCACTGAGCTATCCGAGCTGTGACTAACCTCCTGTAGGACTGAGATGTAATCACAATTGATTGATCACTGGGTGGTGATCAATGTCATGCTTGTCTAGTCCTCATTAGTTTCTGGTTGTTTATATCGAATTAACTAAACGGTTTTACTCTAGCTGAAAAGATTTTATCATTCGAAAGTTCATTCTTTATAGAGCGTAGCACTGAATCTAGGTTAACTTAGTATCTCACTCATTTGTTTACTGCTTTCAATACTGAATAGTTGATAGTTTTACTATAACGGCAAAGGTGGAAGATTCAAATAACTTATCAACAGAGAGACTAACATCGTAAACACGCTTTCTTAATAAATATCAGTTAATAAAGGGCTAAGTATATCATATATCATGTGTGCTGTTTCATATAGAAAATAAGGCAGTGATTTTACTTTCTAATCTCTACTTTAGTTGACAGAATTCAGTGGTTTAGTTTAAATAGCTACAATAATAGTACATCAGCTTGTTTCTTTGTAGTTTATTCTTCTGATAGTAGGAAAAGAGGAAATAGTGAACATCGGAGGACGATAATAAAGTAGTAGAACAGAATAGGACCTCCAAAGTTAATTCCCATCCTATATACAACATTTAGGTATTAGGAATAAATCATTTAGCAATTAAAAGTTAGTCCTATGAAACATGCAGTCTGAGACTCAAAGATCTACTAGAATGTGCAGATTTTATTGAAGATACATGATTTGATATTTGAATCACAGTGAGATTACTTAATGTTCAAGATTGGGAAAGATTGCCTATTTTAATCTTAAAATATTATCATTAGGTATTCATTTACATTCTGAATCTCAGATTTATCCAGTTTTGAATTGCTTGGGTGTGGTTCATGTATAAAAATACGTAAGGCCACTTAATTAGGAATTTATTTCTATCTCGTCTATACATAAAATGAAGAGAATAGATAGTTAGCCCTTTGCAAGTATGTTTATAAAACGGATAACTTATTTTTAAAAATGCCAAGGGCTCTATTAGGAGATTTTGTTTAGCCCTGAGGTCAAGACAGTATAATGTTTGCTACTACTGAATGACTGATTAATGCAACAATTTAAAAAGTCGTGTTTTCAGTCTGAAACCTTCTGTACAAAAGTTGGATTCAATCAAATAAATGGACATATATTTTAGGATTAACTCAGAAAGAAAAATGGGTAATTTTGGCATAGAATCCAGTCTTCCCGGAGATTTTGTTGAAGAATTCACGAAGGTTCATTCCATCTAGTACCACGGACTAGTATTATTACGAGCCACCTAGTTCCCATCTTTATTGTGAATATAAGAAGATTCAGTTTTTTGAGCATACAAATGAGTGGAACTGGGATTACTTTAAAATACTCCATTGGTTTTTAAGATAATACCGATTTGTGGTTGTGTCTGAAAATCAATCAAAATGATAGTGATGATTACCAACTTAAATGTATATATTTCCACACTTTCAGCGCACTTACGTGTCATATGCTGGACATATCTCAGGTTAATATCAGTTATCACTTTTGGGCACGAATGTCTACGAATAGATGATTCCTCACATTCTGGATTACCTAACAACTCCTTCAGGATCTGATAGCTGTACAGTTCACTTGATAAGACGTATGTTTAGATCAAAGTACTTTTTAAAAATGTGTAATCTTCTACCGGTGCTGTGAATAAGCCTTTAGAAAGTGTAAATAACATACAAGAATTTCCTTCATGTCATTTAGAACTATCTTTGACTGTGTTTCCATGGAATTATTGTATGAAGTACTAGTTGATTTTGTTCCAATACGTCATTGTGAAATAACCTGCTTCATAAATAAGGCGTTCAAACACATTGATAGTTAGTGCTATGAAAATACTCATAATGGTTTAATGTGAGTTACATCAGTAAAGTGGCTTATTCAGTACTCCAATTCTGATGACTGTTTGTATGAAAACTTAAGGCTTATGATAATTATCATTTCCTTTGTATTGTGGATATCTTAATACAATGATATACCCATGTTTAGAAAATATTTTAGAAAACTGGAGGAATATGCTGTTGCGTTGAACCTATTTATATCTTAGGGATTTGTTTGCACATGATATTTCATTATTATACTAGACAAACTAGCCACTGCACTGATAAGTATAGTATATAGATTGGTTTTAGTTTACTATGTAAGATAATCTTATCTAATAAATTACATGAAGTGTGCTTTAAGTTAGTCACTTAAAGAACCATTCAATCGTTCTATACATTAGAATTATACATTCAGATAATAATCTAATCATATTTGGCTAACATTATGTATGAGTGCAGAAACTAATGACTTAAGCATTACTTTTTCCGAGAGATTTCAACTGAATAAACACACGAAATCAACAGGTAATAATATGACACAATGAAACCTCAAATGAAGACAAATAATTCACAAAAATATTATAAATTATGAAGTTAAGGGAAATCATAAGTTAAATCAAATAAAACCATCTTACCTACTGGTTTAAAGGGGTGATTTTTATAACTAGTGTGTTCATGAAACCTGATTTCTAGACAATCATATATTTTAGACCATTATTTGTGAACTGACTTATAGTATAACAACAAATGTTCTGCCTATGTAATTTGATTCAAATTATAATATCATTAACTTAATTATAGTGTTTTAAGAAAATACCATAATGATCTATGATATTATTACTAGTATCTTTCTAGACAATTCTAAGCTGAAAATTATAAAACTATATCAAGACGATCTTCCAACTAAAGGTCACTTTATTGTATGCTATTAATAAAGTTCATATCAATGCCGTAATTGATCGCATTTTAAGAATGAACAAAATTCGACAATAGCTTTAAGAAATTGATTAATTAATCGTTGGAAAACTTTAACTCAACTTACTTGTATATTATGCTTAGCCCGATGGTATGCTCTTAACGTTAAACCAGGGCATATAATGAAACATGGGGTTGCCCAACATTCATCATATCGACGATACATGTAACACATGTAACAGGAATAACAGCAAAGTACAAGCCAACCTGAAATTAAAAAAAACACGTCTAAATTAAGAGAACATGTCAAGATTTAATGCAAAAATAGACTGTACAAATGGTTATTTTGTTTTGCACTTATTTTTTTCACCCAAAGGTTTGATTGAAATGACTCAAGATAGATCTAAAGAATGATTGATTCATTTTGTATAATTATAATGTAAAATTACTGCTTCTTGGATATAACATCTGTTACATTGTAAGACCCATTATCTGAGGTTATAAATATCTGTGATAAAAAGCTAACACAAGAATTGTAGTTGTTATGTGTTTAACTGCGAAATAGATTACATAGAATGATTATTAAAGTATGAGCTGAGTTAACTCTCTATTAATCATTGATATTACTTTGTAGCTTCATTCTAATAATCTATCAAGTTTGAAATTCAAATGTTTTCCTGCTTTTTGTCATGATTTATAACCAAAATAACTTATGAATTTCACTGAAACTAACACTCATTTGTCTTGTTTGAGTATGATAATTAACCACTAAAAAACAAACAAAAAATTTGCTCGAAATCGATAAATTCCAATTGTACCATCAGTAATAAGGAAGTTTTCTTCTTTTACAAATTAATTGAAAGTTATAGAATATCTCAATGAATAATAATTCACATTTTAATTGTAAAACTAATTTTGTTTTAAAAAAAAAGAAAGAAAAGGAAAAGAATAAACAATAGAAAAAATAACTTACATGAATTACAGTCATTTGTACAGTCAAATAGTCCATCATGCCAATCTCTTTGTCTAACTGCATATGGTTGTTTTGTTGTTGGACTGTCCATTTAATGAAATTATAATATTCTGTGAATAATTATTAATTATTAAAGATAATTATGGAAAAAAACGGACGTTTTAAATGATAATAGAGAGTAATATGATTATATTTGAATGAAATTGTAGACTTGTGTTAACTTATTTTAATTGATTGAATTCAACACCAATAAGAAGTTCTTTAAAAACTATTGGTTATCTGAAGAATAAAAATTTTTTTTGTTTTTAGAGTATAGAATAACTCATGTAAATAAGAAGGTTTATGATTGGTTAATTATAAGTTGGTCAGTGTAGGTACATAAATGTCGATAGATTTTATTCGTTGTGTCAGTATATAAATAGTTGTGTTGACAACTAGAAAATATGGTTGTAAGTTTCATTTTTAGTTAGTTATCAAGGGATCAACTTGAGAAAGGAAGTTGAATAGGTCAGATTTGATCAATTGAAGATATCACTAACACACTGAATATTAAAATAAATAGAGCGTTTCTTTTAGTCATTAGTCCAGGAGTTCAGAGAGAGGTGAAATATACTGACTTTTAAGCAGTTCGCTATATCTTGCATAAAACTAGTATTATCAAATGGGAATTGGCTAATTAAACGAATAATAAGTGGAGTCTTTTATTATCATAATGATTCAGTTTTTACATGTCACATAAATTTACCAGCAGTAATTTTTTGCACTTATTGTTCAATAGTCTAGCACATGTAATGATAAAAGGTCAGAAATAACAATAAAGCAGCTTTTGATCATATTTTTTTCTAGTAAAAAGTCATAATATTTTACAAAAGATAAAACACTAATTTCTTGGAGCTGGATCAAATTTTGTCCCTAAGAATAATGAATTCTAAGTAATAAGTACACTTGTGATAACACATATAACCTTGTCTGAAAAGTTGACAAAACCAAACTTCATTGAGTAAGCGTAGATTTGTTTCAGTGTCTTCTTAATCAATTTCAAGTTTATACAGTTGGTTCCGTTCAAAAATTTAGACAAAAGCAAAAATGACAATACTTAAATATTACAGTGAATTCATCTTATTTCTATACTTGATCCTCAAATAATAAGTTGTCATCAATGAACACAAACAATTGTTTATGTACAATTTAAAGGGGGATTTAGAGCTTGTAAAAGGTAATAGTCTGAATAAAAGTAACCAGGAAGCTCATAGTTTCTTATGAATTATCACTATCGCTTATCAACATCACTCTGGGATAAACTATCAACATGATTGGCCATTATTCACAAGGTATATCTATGTCAAAGGTACAACTGAACGACCATGCACCATAAGCATTTAGTTTCAGGCCAATAGGGAATTATGCCGAGAATGAGCTGTAGCAATGGATAACCTTGTGTGATTTGTTCGTCTTCATATATATTCTCTGCAAATCTTGAAAAATCAAAATTACTGTCCAGCATCAGTGATGCTGTGCCTTATTCGACGTGTTCTGAAGATACACTCATTCTTTATAACCATAAAAATCATTCTAATAAGCTTTGTTTTAATTCTAATAGTCAATCACTAAAATTAAATCAATAAGTTATTACTGAACTGATGCACTTGTAGGTATTGAGTTTCCAAATACCCATAAATATTCGGATTTTGTGTTTTTTTAAGTGGCCTACTCAAGATATTAGCGGTAATATGTTGAAATATGCTGGAAACATCTCTCAAACGTAGATATTTGCGATATTATAATTCATTCAGCCTTCTGTGTGACTTTCAAGATTTCGAAATTTCAATAATTTTAACAAGTTGATAAATTGATAGTTTTAAAGGATCATAATTACTAACAGATATAGCAATGTAGTAACTTATATATAAATCATTGTCTTAACATAGTAGCTGAGATATCGGTTAACTGATAACGCATTTCGTTGTTTGTAGATGGATCGGTTATGTAAAGATCTTCGAATATCTATTATCTATCAAACCCAGAAATAAGTTTGGCATTGGACATTTCCTAAATGTATATTTCAAATTAGACCGTCGAAAGATTGTTTAATTTGACTTCATAACATTCTTCGGTTTCACTAAACAAACCACAAAATCTCTAAAATTGATTATAACTCAGCAATTAATTTTTTTTACACATCACCACAGTATTTCTGACAAGTAATATGGCATTTATTGAAGCTAATCATATATTATGTTAAGATTTTTTTTTCTGTACACAACGACTGATAGTACCATGTCACCTAATGAAAACGGGTCAGTAAATCATGTAAAATAAATGTTCAAGGCTTAAAGATAAATAAAATCTTTAAGAAAATAAATGTTAAGGAACATAACTAGTAAACTCCTTATCAAAGCTGAACCAACATCAAACTATCTTTTTCGAAATTTAGGCACATACGTGAGTAGATATAGTTGTCTATATTATAATTCTGATCAACTTCTTGAGAGGGTTTATTACCAGTAATATTTCCGTTAAAATTAGAGATTCGAAAACAGTTTTTTTCTTCTTCAGGAATATGAATTTGGTTCAGGAAAACTTTCTGTTTTGTATGTATTTTTCAATAGATCGTAAAGAGTAACTGGCTCATAAAAAGGTGGATTTCAGAAAGGTTGGTTTATGTCTTTAGAAATTTGATAAGAAAACTTTACACTAACCTAGGCATAGAGAACGGATGAAATTTGATTTTCTTGTTTCTGAGACACAATTCTGGAAGTTCATCTATTGTCCTTGCATATAGATCTTTGTTATGTTCCATTATTTCCTTTCGTAAATAAAATATCCTTAAGAAGTATTTTTGATTTCAGTTTTTATCCCACTGTCAAGATAAGTGATCATGGTAATTATCAGAAGACTTGAAGATTTATTGCACATTGAACTTCGTATCTTATATGAAGAATCTATGATCGATATAAATCGATCAGTAATCGATTATAGACAATTTGACATTAATTAAGTAGTAATGAACTCAATGGTGAATTCCTTACTATCTAATCCATTTATAGATATATCTGATTAATGAAACTAAATTATATAATCAAGACACATCTGAAAATCATTTTTTTTTCTGAATAAACAATATAGATTTCAGCAACTATTTCATTTATCTTTAAACATTGAAAGGTAATTTCTAAGCTACACTCTAAGCGAATTGATCTATAATTGAATGATTAGAACATTGACCACACTAAACTGAACGATCATAATAAAAATTTTCTTGATAAAATAACAATTTTACAAACTTATTTTTTTAACCTGAAATTCAACTGATTTTAAATTAAGACAAAACTTGAAAGAATATCACCTTCAATTGTTGTTCTTGATAAACATGTTATGACTTATTTTGTTGAATTTTTAAAATGATACATTTTGGCAATAGTTGAAAGTAATAAATCTTGTAACAGACAATTCATAATTCTATTTTGTTCTTGTTCTCATGAACTTTGTGTTTTGTATACGTAATTTAATGTTGATATGATGATGAGAACATTTTAGATAACCTATGCAAATGTATGTACTATCCTTTTGATAATCTATCAAGATTGGTTATATTTTTTTTATGAAGGTAATAGTAATGAAATTCTGAACGCGTGTTTTATTTAAGTAGATAATCATTATGCTTTATTTTTTCTGAAATCGATAAATATTATGAACATAATTATCCGCGAAATTTATATTTTAATAAAACAAATTCATATATATTCATTATCGTTTTCTGACCACATGGGGAATGATGCTCTTTCGTGGTACTTACATGGACTTATAACGCCTCTCCCATACTTACGTTTGTTGACGTTTAGTTTTGTTAAGCACTTCAATTAACTTATTTAACAGATAGTTTTTTCAAAAATTTCATGCAATTAGTTGCCTTTATGAATTTAAATAAAGCAAGCAGGTATGAATTCATAATATCGTCAGCTGCTTACAACCAAATATGTAATAGAATCTTACATTGAGATAAGAAATAGTGTGAAACAATTGACATAAATGAATGTAAATAACTGGAATGACAAAGGTTTACAGGATAGGCGAACCTTATGGAACCTTCTTCAACACTATGGTGTATCTGAGATCTTCAAAATCATACGACGAACTATACTCCAAAGTGGTGGGTGGAGAATAGGTGACAGATGCATTCCAAGTGAGAAATGGAATGAGACAGAGCTGCTTACTCTCGCGTTTTTTGTTTCTAGATTATGAAAACCTCCATATATGATTGGAAGCATGGAGTACAACGGACAGCTTGGATGAAAATAGACGATTTGGACTTAGCTGATGAACTGACCCTTACATCCCATACATACGAGCAAATGCAAGTCAGGACAACCAGTGTATCACTAGCCTCTGAAGCATTTGGTCTCAACATTCACAGTACAAAAAGCAAGATCATAAAATACCAAAACACGGAACCCCAACCCAATCACACCGGATTGAGAAACTCTGGAAGAGGTGGAAATTTTCACGTATCTGGATAGAATTATCGATGAACAGGCAGGATCTGATGCAGACGTAAAAACAGGGATTGGAAAAACAAGAGTAGCACTCCTACAGTTGAAGAACATGTAGAACTCAAAACGACTGTTATCCAACATCAAAGTCACAATCTTCAATACAAACGTCAAGATAGTTCTCTTGTACGGAGCTAAAACTTGGAGAACTATCACATTCATCATGAGAACAGTACAAGTATTTATAAACAATTGTTTACTCAAGATACTAGATGTTCATTGACCGAAAACTGTCAGCATCAGCCTACTGTGGGAGAGAATAAACCATCTTACGAGTAAAGATGAAATTAGAAAAAGACGTCGGATGTGGATAGAACTTATGTTGACGAAATCATCAAACTGCATTACGAGTCAAACGCTAACTTGGAATCCTGAAAGGAAACGGAAAAGAGGAAAATTGATGAACTATAAGCAGATATGAAAAGAATGAATATCAACTGGAGAGGATTGTCTAGGATAGAGTTGGGTAAAGAATACTAGTGGGAAGCCTATGCTCCTCCATGAGGGGTAACGAACAAAATAAGTTATGATATCTCTTCGATTTCATGTATTAAATTTCCATGAATTCGAAACAATTACTCCATTCCTTACTGTAATTGCATTCTCTTAAAACTCCAGATGGTAAGCATTTATTTGATTCCGGTTAATGTAACTTTTGTTTATTTTTAACTAATTCCAGATTTACTGTCC